TCTGATATGGTCGACTTTGATCCGCAGACATATATGTATATATATATCCGCAGATATATATATATATATATATATATATATATATATATATATATATAATATATATATAGTTATAGTTATAGTTATATATTATAACGGTAATGCTATTTTGAGGGTATTATCATTTGCATAAGCCCGAGGTCTGCCATTATCTGCCCTCAAAAATAGCATTACCGTTATTATTGCTAAAATACATGGAATTTGTGTTGAAAAGAAAAAGGAAACAATGAAGGAATTTGACTGTAAGTTTACTCAAAACCAACTTCTGACTCGGTTGACTGCGCGAATGCAATTACGTCATCGAACAATTCAAGTGACGTCACAACAGAAAGTGACGATATTCGACCTTGGCCTTTGACAAGACCATAGCCTGCAACATGCCAAACCATGTCAGTGTTCGGTTTTGGTCCAACAACAACGTTAATAGTGCAATTGTTAAGGTTAGCACCTGCAAGAAAGCCAATATCACCGCCATTTAAAGCGGGAATTCGGGTTGCTTTGACTAGTTTCACCCAGAATATCTGCCAGTCCAAAGCCAATGTCGAATGAAGCGACGCACCTAATATGACGTCACTTGACAACAGAACTGATAGTGGTGGCCCGTTGTTAAGGTTGAGCGGTCCAGTATATTTGCAGCGGCCCGCAAATTTCTGATATTTGGAGGGCCGTTTCATGATAATTCCATGGATTTTAGCTATAAATATATATATACTGTATATCACATAGATAAATGAAAACAGAATGCCTTTTTCTCCAACATGTTTCGTTCTTTACTCTTCAGGGAGATTGTAGCGGTTACAGCATGACGTCATTACATATATATTGTGACGTCCCAATAGGGACAACATTCTAGAGCGACAAGGTCACAGCTTGCAATGGTTTAACATTGGTTTGAACTTGTCTATGAAGTAGTGTTATTTTTAAAATTCGTTTTACTTTGTCCGAATTTTTGAACTTGATAAAAAGGAAATATTGTAAATTTAACATCGTTTCCTTTCGCACAGACATCTAGATGTTCACTCAGTGGGATACATCGGGTTTCAGGACACTTTATTTGTTGTTTGTGGACACGAACCCGGGCTCTTAACTTTTCTGATTGACCAATATACTGTTCATTACAGCCTGTGCATGTTATGACATATATTATGTTTTTGCAAGAGCAGTCAAAATTCTGTTTTACATAGAATTCTCCGTGTCTCGTGAAAGTTACAGAGTGTCCTTCAACAATATGTCGACACGTTCCACAGTTACCTCTGTTGCATCTAGACACAGTAGGATTGGATTCTGTTTCTTTAAAATAAATTTGGCTTTTGTTAGTATCTTTTTAAGAATCTGATTTTGTCTTTTGCTATTTATTATTTTTCTAGATTTCAGCATTGATTTCAGTTTTTCATCTTGTTTTAAGATGCACATATTTGTTTTTATGTTCTGGAACACATTTGGGTTCAACAGATTATAAGTAGATACAAAAGCAATTACTTTTTCCTCATTGGTGTTTCATCGTTCCTGTCAAAAGATCTTCTCTATTAAGCTGTAAAGCTTTATGTACTCCGTCTTCAACAGGATTTTGGATATTCCCGTAATAGTAAAAACATCCTAAGTTCATTCAGACTTTGATTGCGGGTGTCCTGGTTTGAAACTATTGTACATATTCTTCGTTCCGGGTTATATGGAAGACTTTTTTTGGTGTGGCTCGGATGACAAGATTTGAAGTTTAAATATTGCTTCGTATCTGTAGGTTTGTAGAAGATATCTTCGTCCAATTTCCGCCCCGATTTATGCATGTAGTCAATGCTATGCTAAGCAACGTCCACTCGTATTCAAGATTACACCTGGTTAGAGATGCAAACAAATGTTTACATTTGCATAAGCCCGAGGTCTGCCATTATCTGCCCTCAAAAATAGCATTACCGTTATTATTGCTAAAATACATGGAATTTGTGTTGAAAAGAAAAAGGAAACAATGAAGGAATTTGACTGTAAGTTTACTCAAAACCAACTTCTGACTCGGTTGACTGCGCGAATGCAATTACGTCATCGAACAATTCAAGTGACGTCACAACAGAAAGTGACGATATTCGACCTTGGCCTTTGACAAGACCATAGCCTGCAACATGCCAAACCATGTCAGTGTTCGGTTTTGGTCCAACAACAACGTTAATAGTGCAATTGTTAAGGTTAGCACCAGCAAGAAAGCCAATATCACCGCTATTTAAAGCGGGAATTCGGGTTGCTTTGACTTGTTTGACCCAGAATATCTGCCAGTCCAAAGCCAATGTCGAATGAACCGACGCACCTAATATGACGTCACTTGACAACAGAACTGATAGTGGCCCGTCGTTAAGGTTGAGCAGTCCAATATCATTTGCAGCGGCCCGCAAATTTCTGATAATGGGAGGGCCGTTTCATGATAATTCCATGGATTTTAGCTATAAATATATATATACTGTATATCACATAGATAAATGAAAACAGAATGCCTTTTTCTCCAACATGTTTCGTTCTTTACTCTTCAGGGAGATTGTAGCGGTTACAGTATGACGTCATTACATATATATTGTGACGTCCCAATAGGGACAACATTCTAGAGCGACAAGGTCACAGCTTGCAATGGTTTAACATTGGTTTGAACTTGTCTATGAAGTAGTGTTATTTTAAAATTCGTTTTACTTTGTCCGAATTTTGAACTTGATAAAAAGGAAATATTGTAAATTTAACATCGTTTCCTTTCGCACAGACATCTAGATGTTCACTCAGTGGGATACATCGGGTTTCAGGACACTTTATTTGTTGTTTGTGGACACGAACCCGGGCTCTTAACTTTTCTGATTGACCAATATACTGTTCATTACAGCCTGTGCATGTTATGACATATATTATGTTTTTGCAAGAGCAGTCAAAATTCTGTTTTACATAGAATTCTCCGTGTCTCGTGAAAGTTACAGAGTGTCCTTCAACAATATGTCGACACGTTCCACAGTTACCTCTGTTGCATCTAGACACAGTAGGATTGGATTCTGTTTCTTTAAAATAAATTTGGCTTTTGTTAGTATCTTTTTAAGAATCTGATTTTGTCTTTTGCTATTTATTATTTTTCTAGATTTCAGCATTGATTTCAGTTTTTCATCTTGTTTTAAGATGCACATATTTGTTTTTATGTTCTGGAACACATTTGGGTTCAACAGATTATAAGTAGATACAAAAGCAATTACTTTTTCCTCATTGGTGTTTCATCGTTCCTGTCAAAAGATCTTCTCTATTAAGCTGTAAAGCTTTATGTACTCCGTCTTCAACAGGATTTTGGATATTCCCGTAATAGTAAAAACATCCTAAGTTCATTCAGACTTTGATTGCGGGTGTCCTGGTTTGAAACTATTGTACATATTCTTCGTTCCGGGTTATATGGAAGACTTTTTTTGGTGTGGCTCGGATGACAAGATTTGAAGTTTAAATATTGTTTCGTATCTGTAGGTTTGTAGAAGATATCTTCGTCCAATTTCCGCCCCGATTTGATGAAAATTGTGTCTAAGAAAGCTGTTTTAGTTTCATCTGCCTCCATAGTGAAAACAAGATTTTCGTCCATGCTATTTAATAGTTCTTAAAATGTATTTAATTTCTCCTCAGAAAATGGCCAAATTATGAAGCAGTCGTCTAGAAATCTTTTCCAATTTTCCATGAAATAATGGGCAACATCCTCTCCAAGAATTTGACTGCTTTTATGCTTGAACTTTTCCTCCAGATATCCTAGGACAAGTGTCGCATAAGTCGGCGCCATTTTGGTGCCCATGGCTGTTCCTTTAATCTGTTTATAGTACTTATCGTCAAAAAAGAAAATATTGTTTTTTAAGATGAATTCAACGCTTTCCAAAATGAATGATTTTGAAATTCGCTCAGGTATGTGTTCTTCACAACGGTTTAACCAATAATCCAACGCTTTAATTCCTAGGCTATGTGGGATATTTGAATACAATTTGTTTACATCAAAAGTTACAAGTTTGCTTGTTTCATTAACGTTTTGTGGTAAGGAGGAAAGGAAATGCATGGTGTCACGAGTATAACTTTTAACATTTGATGAGATTGGTTTCAATAAAATATCAATGAAATTACTGAGTCTGTGTGTAGCACACGCTGGGCCTGCAATTATAGGTCGGAGTTTCAAATCTCCCGTGTGTTTCATCTCAACATAGCTGCTTTTAGCACTTTCACAATGTCTTATGATCTCCTTACTTTTATGAATTTTGGGTAAGCCATAGAAATTGCTCGATTTGCAGTCAAAATGTGTTATATAATTTAATTCCTTTGATGTGAGCTCTTCTGAGTACTGACTGGTTAGATTCTTTAATTTCCGAAGTACACTGTCTGACTCTTTTTCACTGCACGGGACATAAGTACCTTTGTCCAGGAGTAAGTCCATTGCCATGTGTTTGTAATTCGTTGAATCCATTATCACTGTTGCTCCGCCTTTGTCAGCTTTTATTATGATGTTCGGATCATTGGCCAAAGAGTTTAAAGAATTTCTCTGTTTGCTGGTTATATAAGAGTGTTTCTTGCTTGTGTTAGGAATTATTGGATAACTGTTTATTTGATCCACAAAATTATCCAAATGTTTGTTTTGTCCCTTTTTGGCGCACCAAAAACTTTTATTTCTAACTAGGGATTCCTCCCAATTTTCACACTCGAAAAAGTATTCCTCATGTCGGAGTTTTCTGCAGAATTCAGTTAAGTTTTCTTTCACCTCATTGCAGTTACTTGATTTTGGGGTAGGTGTAAATTTGAGTCCCTTATTTAATATTGTAATTTCATCTTCTGTTAAAGGGCACCTGGACAAGTTAAATATCTTTATGTCTACTGTCTTTGGTTTTTCATTTTCCTTCTTTTCTTCACATTCCAAGTGTTGAATAAAAAACGATTTTCAGTGTTGTAGTATCTGTGGCTTTGTGAGGGGAATACATCAGTTTTACCTTGATTTCGCGGCACTGGATTCTGATTTGTGTATTCCTCCTGGTGTGTTTTCTGCTGGTATGGAACTCCAGACTGGAAGTGAACATTACTGTTATTTGTCATTATCCTTCCAACATATGCTAAAAAAACTTTGAAAATTAGTAATGACAAAGCGTTTGTCACAAACATAGCTATTACCCCCGCCACATGTCGATATCTGAATGACGCAATTATCCTCTGTCTGACCCTGAAAATTATGTAAACGTTACCGAAACTTTCATCTGATGCCTTGATACAAAATGCGAACAAATTCCATCCATTAGGTTTGGAGATATCGCAAGAATACTCGCTGTGACCTTGAAAATAATCCGAAGGTCACTGAATTCGACTGGCGTTAGACGATACTCCCAACGCATCTTGGTACTACCTTTAAGCAAAACATATTAATTCTGTCTTGTATTTTCGCACTAAAAGTTAGACATGTGCAAAACACTTTTCACTGTGAACTTACAATGAGCACAAGTTTCCTAATCAATTGGTGTTGGGGGAATCCCGCCAATACACCTTGATATAAAATTGGATCAAAATTTATAATTAATACTTTCCTGAGTTCGCGGCTACCAAGCTTGGCATGTGTAAAACTGTTACACCTTCGCTGTGACCTTTAAAATTACCTCAAGGTCACTAAATTCAAGTGGTGTCGGTAAATCTCCAATATCCGGTCAATAAACCTTGGTACCAAATTTGAACAAAATCCATCATTTCTTTCTCGAGTTCTTTCAGTAAACAGAATGGGGAGTCATTTGAACAAGCGATTGTAGTTTTGAAATTGCTTTTTTGTGCAGTTTAATATCTAAGTTTTATTCTAGCCGACTTCTACCAATCTCAAACATAGCATATTTTGTTTCCTGAAGTTTGTGATGCAGTTATTTGCAGATTTTACGTTTTTTGGGAGTACCAAGCCAAGATACAAAGTCTCACAAAATGGGGATCGTGAGGCTGCAACAAAGCAAAACCAATTTGCTTGAGGCTGACAGATAATATGTAGAAAAATAAAACATAAAAACAGCTGCATTTGTATCATATTCTAGGTGAGGCTGACTACTATTTGAACGCCCCTCGTAGTTATACCCGTTAGAACACCCACCCACCTCTCCGACTCTACATGCATGCAAGTGTGTTAGATATACCCGTTAGAAACCCACCCCTACCCCACTTTATATGTATGCATATCTAAACCTCAAAAGATATTGGCGAAAAGACATGATACAGAGGACAGTTGATATCGATTATATATCATTTAGCTAAGATTTGTCAATTCATTCGCGCTAACAATCTTTATATTGGCAAAACCCTCAGATTTTTGCTGTGACCTTGAAAATTATCTCAAGGTCACTCCATTTCACTTGTGTCGGTGAATCTCGCTAATATACCTTGGTACCGAATTTGAACAAAATCCATCATTTCTTTCTTGAGTTATCGCCCTAACAAGCTTATTTGATGTATGAAATGCAACGAAAAACAAACACCCGCGTATTTACGAGTGATTAAAACTGTTATTACAATTTACGTAAATATTTATTACATTTTACCGCAACGAAAATTATTACAATTTACTTCAATTTTTATTACAATTTGCGTATTACAATTTACGACAATTTCTATTACAATTTACGTTTTTATTACAATTTACGTCAATTTTATTACAATTTGCTGCAAGTATTACAATTTGCGTTTTTATTACAATTTACGTCGTAACATGCAGCTTGAGAGGTAAATCGGCTGTAGCCAAATCCTCTAAGTCGCCACTTAGGGACAATACTGAGAAACTGAGTTACAGGTCTTAGTGTTATGGTTGGGTGATATTGCTTAACCAGCTCACAGAGGTACGGTGGTGCTTTACCATATAGGCATCTGTATGTGAGTGTTAGTATTTTCAATTCTATTCTGGCTTGAATAAGCAACCAATGTGGAGTTTAGAACTGACTGTATGTGGGAGAACTTGTCAACTACAGCAATGTCCTTGATCAAGTCTTCATTCTGTCTTGTAATCGCCAGATCCAGTATATGGTCATTCTGGTGGGTTTTGATGTCATTTGCACTAGCCGATGGACGTCAAGAAGACGAATACATGTCTTGCTATCATCCAAGTGAATATTAAAGTCACCCAGAATCATGCATTGTCGTTCCTTTTGAGTGAATGAGTTAAAACTTATCGTCATATCGGCAATATTTCAGCCATATCGTGACCAGAGAACCTTGTACAGCAATAAAAAAGTGTGAAATATATGTAAAGGTTTTAAAATGCTGTCGTCAAAGGACAGTACAACAACTAGTACATCACAACTAGTTAGGGAACATATAAAATAGTAAACTGTTAAGTGACAACACAATTTAAAAATGGGATTATAGATCGCCAACAACTGAAGTTAGGCCACCATACAAGGGACCATGGGCACTTACAGTGCCTTTGTTACCTGAGTGGGCCCTTGTTGGATTTGTCCCTTTTCAGCATTAACGTTATCCATAAAATATTATCATCAACAAACTGAGGAAAAGACAGACTGATAGTTTTAGATGGAGGAGGCCTGTAAGTATACACTAATCTAACTATTTCCTCAGGGAGAGTGACTATTACTTCCAACATCTCAAACGATTTGTAATCCTTTGTCCGGCTTGTAATATGTTGTACTCTCACTCGTTCCCTGTGCACAATATGTCCGAGGAACATGCTTCAAAATATATCCAGGGCGCAATAACTCTGCAGTTTGGCTTCATCTCCTGTTGGTTTCAGCCTGGTGTCTGTTAGACACAACGTCTCAACGTCATCCTCAGTAATGAAATCACAAATCTCAAGTGTTTCGTTCCTTACAGATTTTGCATTCTACATACACACTGAATGCACTTGAATAAGATTGTGGTTTTATTCCTACAGTCTAGGAATGGATACTGTAGGTATTAAACATCAATGTGAACAACGTGTAAATTAATTACTCATGTAATGAAATACAAACATGAATACAAACATCTCAAAGAAACTTACCACAGGCAGATCAACTCGTATGCGTGTTCTGTTGAGTTTGTCTACTTTTGACAACCTTGTGGCAACCTTTCACTAGCGCAGGGGACTGTATATCTTGACAAGCTCCAATTAACTTGAAAATATCTTTCAGGGGCAAATCAGCCATTTAGGTGCATTCTTTGCACATATACGTATGCAGCAAAAACATAAAGGCAACAGAGAGAGGTTCACATGAAACATAAGCTCACTATGGGCACACCTTAGTCTGTCATACAGACCCTGAAACAAATATACCCAATGTAGCCATTTCAAGTCTATAATGTGTTTCAAGTCTACATTACCACAGATTCATATATAACGGGGGCGGTGGGGTAGCCTAGTGGTTAAAGCGTTCGCTCGTCACGCCGAAGACCCGGGCTCCATTCCCCACATGGGTACATTGTGTGAAGCCCATTTCTGGTGTCTCCCGCCGTGATATTGTTGGAATTTTGCTAAAAGCGACGTAAAACCATACTCACTCACTCATATATAACGAGTCTCAGTGAGTCTGACCACAGGATCTAGCCTCTTACGACAAGCGTGGGTTGCCGCCATATAGCTTGAATATTGCTGAATTCGGCGTTAAACAACAAGCAAACAGTGTAAACCAGTCATAGCTCAGGCATGTTCAGACCACGAAGTATGATAAGTTTATAAACAGTCCTAAGTTATCGTGACCCAATGTTATTGTGTTGAACATGTAAACATGTACTTGACAACTGGTGTCTGGTGTTATTTACCGAATGTTGGTCTATTATGTGAATTTGGAAGTCTGTTATTAAAATATATTTCATACCTTGTGTAATCACAAGATTTCTGTACTGAATTTGTATGGATTTATTCACAAGGGATAGTTAGTAGGGCGTTTACGTGTTGCATTACGATGCGCCCACTGTCTTATTTCAGTCGTGAATGTGTATCGCTTTTCATGCCATATATTCACTAATGCCTCGTACGAAGTGAAAATTCAGTTCTTTTCGGCAAAGATCCTTATCTTCTCAAAATCGCCGGCGGGGTAGCCTAGCGGTTGAAGCGTTTGCTCCTCACGCCAAAGATCCGGGTTCCATCCCCCACATGGGGACATTGTGTGAATCCTATTTCACATGAAAGTCAGTGCTAAATGAGAAGCTTCATTGAAAAGATATTGCATTTACCGATTGTGCATATTTTATTGACACGAGTGAGTAAACGTCTCTGTTGTATTATATGCAAAGATAGTATTTATATAAATATTTCGTCTGTTCGTTTTTGTTAATGTCTCGGTCCAAGCATGTACTTGATTCAGCAGAACTGATAAGCAACAGACGCTATCGAAACCCAGTTCATATTAACATTTAGCAATTGCAATATTCCCACGCTCAAAAGCAAATACACGAAGACTCAACATATTTTAGGAAGATGCAAACATGCTATTTAACCCAAGGAAATGTGTCCGACCTAATTCTGCTAAGGCACTTTCGTGACTCCGTTCCGCCTGAAGTTGAGCTTGTGCCCGAGTCAAAGCAACCTTCAGCTGCAGTGTGACGGATGAGGACTCGTTTGTGCATCAGCTATAGCCACTATCATCTTGGAAATAAGTCCTGCCTTAGAATTTGTCAAAGGCAATCTAAGCTATTCGTAAGTTGTGACAAGATATATCATCTGGCTATGCTCTGGTGAATTTCGTGTATACGATATTTATCACTAATAGTACATGTTACTTTAAATCACAGTATCCCGCTGAGCAACATATACGTCAAACATCAATATGAACAACGTGTAAAAGATTTATTCATGTGATCAAGTACGAACATGAATAGTTGATAATCACTTCTGTCAGAAACTTACCACAGGCTGGTCAACTCTTGTGCGTGTTCTGTTCAGTTGTCTTCTTTTGACAACCTTGTGGCAAACTTTCATTAGCATCAGAGAACTATATATCTTGACAACCTCCTATCAACTAAGTTGCTTTTAGCAACAAATCAACGTTGTGTTTCTTTGTAAAGGAGAAATATCTCGACTCATCTTTGATATATTGGTAGCTGTATGAAAATAACTGTATTATGGGCCGATGGCCTACATACTCCTGAATAAAGAAAGAAACTTATATTTATTGCTCATACACCTGCATAAATCATTTGTTTAGATATATATATTTGCAGAGTACCACTTGCCTTACCACTAGAAATGGGTACAAATCCCTGGTTTCGAATTCAAAAATGTGTCTGGATGTATATAGTCATACACATATACTCTCCCCAAAATGAAACGCATTTTAGGTGTATTTTCACTCATTTAATCTGTTAACTTGAGATAAAGTGAGATAACATGCCATTCTGGAGCTGTGTGAGGCCTAGCATTATCTTGCTGGAACAACTTCTTCTGGTGGTCAATGATCGGAACCATGTGAATCTTTTAGATTTCGTTAAATTGCCCTGAAGGCGCACAAAGTCATTGACTATACACGTTGCAAGCTTTGTAGATTCAATAAATGAACGTTATTGCACCACAGGACCCGTCGATGTCGTTGTAGTCGTCGCAGCACAGGGCTTAAATAGATATTTGGCACGAACTCTGGTCCAAACTCAATTGACCGCCTCCGTGGTGTAGTGGTTAGAGCGTCTGCCCGGAGAGCGGAAGGTCGCGGGTTCGATCCCCGACCGCGTCATACCAAAAGACGTTAAAATATGGTACTTGTTGGTCCCTGCCTAGCGCTCGGCATTAATGGGTACAACAAGGACTGGTCAGCTCGGAGTCAGTATAATGTGTCTGAGTGGGGTATTCATGCTTCACTGCGGCATGGTATCTCAGTGAGCTAGCACTATAAAACCAGCTTCAGTCTGGGCTATTACAAGCAGCCGCACATACACATACACACGCATGCACGTCGTCATATGAGCGAACTATTCTCAAGCACGACGTTAAACCCAATTTCACCTCACCCCAAACTCAATTATTTACAAACAGTCGTCAAATGCTATCAGCTTGGATATCGCTGACTGCAGAGTTAAACAACAAACAAACAGTTTCCAGACCGATGGGCAAATGTCCGATTTCACATACCAAGCAGGGTAATATCGAAACCGTCACTCCATTATGTCAGTGTCACTTCATATTTTCAATGATTAAAGTCACATCTACGCTGTTTATCTGTGTTGTCTATGATCCAAAGTTTCCCGCGTGGAGCTGTAAGGCATACAAAACGTGGACTAAGGGGAATTGTCGTGTATGTACACGAGTGTGCATGCATCGACAGGGTGTGCATGCTTTGAGATCAGTTAAATGCCAATGGTCCAGTAGATATACATGCACAACAGTCGTGGTTAGAGAACTTCTGAAGAGATTTCCACCTAACATTCCCCTATAAGAGGACTGGGACGGTGGGGTAGCCTAGTGGTTAAGGCGTTCGCTCGTCACGCCAAAGACCCGGGTTCGATTCCCCACATGGGCACAAGGTGTGAAGCCCATTTCTTGTGTTCCACGCCGTGATATTGCTGGAATATTGCTAAAAGCGGCGTAAAACTAAATTCACTCAATCACTCACTCTAAGAGGACTGAATCGTTTGAAATGAGTAATTCCATAAAAAGAGGATATTATATGAGTGCATATGTTATACTATGTTTACGACACGAGTGCCTAAATGTTGGTATTTCACGAGCGAGAGCGAGGGATATACCGATATTTAGGTACGAGTGTAGTAAACATAGCATGATATGGGCACGAATATGATATTCTGTTTAATACTGAAGGCGTCACATTGAGGAAAATATACCCAAATCTACTTTCAAACAAAGGCTGGCTACCCGCCGTCGCCGCAGTTTGAACTCAACGTCACAGAAGAAACGTGACGTCATAGCATTGTTCATGACGTCACGTCACCATGACAAAGTGATATTTTGCCCTAGGGCATCGTATGAAAAATATGAACCCCGATATTTTCGCCCTCGGAAGTAATAAATTCTTATATACAACAGACATTCTTTTGACAGCCGTGTTTGGCTAAATACTTGATCATTGAAAAGTGGAAATAGTGATGATGGCAGATTATCGCCCTGTCGGACCCTTTATTGACAGGGGAAATAATCCGATTCTGCATCATTTGATTTTAGGCTTAGTTTAATATTTCTGTACATAGAAATTAGCCTACAAATTCAAATATTTTGCATTTTCGATCAGTGTTTTACATTTTGGAGTGAAATGAAAAGCGAAATATGTATACAGAAAGAGGAAGTGGACCCTCAACCGCATTCTTGCATGAATTGTTTAGTGTCATGTCGATGTATTTTATCAGACTGATACATATTTGAGACATACGTGCATAGACATACCTGAACTGGGTGCCGTTGTACAAAACAACCTTAGCGCTAAGGCTACCTTAAGTCTATGTTAAAGTATGGGAGTTACAGTCACCTTAGCGCTAAGATCGCTTTGTACAACGGCATCCTGGTCTGTAAGTATCCTTGTGAAGACACCTGTGACTCAGACCTTAAGTATCTGCAATTTCCTCTCTTCTACAAACTTATGAAATTGTAAAAATCACACAATGTTGTATAGTTTTAGCTGGAATATTTCTGAGGACGGCAGCGATATATAACGCGTTTTATTTACTTCATTTTATTCCTTATCAGGTGAATGCTGCGTCAATGCACAGAGTTACTATACAGTGAGAGAGATGGATGGTTATACAACGCAATGTGGGAAATATATAACGCGTTTTAGTTTAAATTACGACTTCATTATATTCATTATCATGCGAATGCTGAGTCAATGCACAGTTACTACACATTGAGAGATATGGATGGTTACACAACGCAATGTGGGAGAATGTTCAAGAACTTTAGAGTGCGACAGGAAACAAATTAAAAGACAAACGCATCACCGTGATGAAATCATGTATCGTCAAACCGAAGGATCGGTTTCCATTCACCAAACTGTACCAAGCCCATTTTTAGAGGGTTCACTCACATTGTGCCTACATGACATTCTGCCTACAGTCCTAAAACATATATAGGGAGTGTAGGCACATTGGCAATGGAAAGTGAAAACATTCATCATCCCCATGTCTACATGGTCTGATCCAATTATTTTTCTATTTTAGTAACATAAAAAAAGAGCAACATTCAGAGTGCATCATTTATTAAGATGATAATAATAGCATCAAACATAGCATTATTTAAAGACACTTTTCATATCCATCATCTCTACCCAAAATATAGTTCATTAAAGATTGAGCTTGAGGAGGTGGCTTGCAGCATCAAGGAACTGTAGTTTGGTTTTCGGACCTTCTAACAAGTGGTTCTTAAGTCTCTACAGCCGATAGTCAATTTCTCTATACACCCGTTTTCTGCGCACTGGAGCTGTACCAAGATCTAGTTGGGCTCTTTTCCTTCTGCTAGCATCCTCAATGCTTTGTAGATGAGTATTAGTATAGTATTACCAGACATACACTGGATGGCATAGAGGACTCCACAAACTTGGACAGGTGTAGAAAGTACCATTCATAAATAGAATAGAAGCCTCTTGCATCACCTACTGTGGTAAGGCGACCTTTACAGTTGGAAATGATGCATTTCCAGTGTGTGGCAGTTTGGCGACGGTTATTCAGACGATATCTGAAGTCTCCAAAGAGAACCTTCTGACCCCCGGCCTGAGAAGTAATATACTCTACTCTCTGACGCTCTGCCACAGTGTATCTGAGAAACAGTATCTAACTATATATATAAAGGCTTTTCACTTTTTAGTCTATTCTTAATCAACTTAGTAAAATAATGTAAATAAAAATTACCTGTGTATTTAGTCTATTCTTAATCATATCTGATTAGACAGAGTCTAGAGACAGAGTCTACTGTATATGGTTTAGACTGGTTCCTGGACTGGTCTATTTGTCGTTATTGTGTGAGGAAGGGAGTTATTATTTGTCAAAGTGCCTACATATGCAGAACCTACAGACTTTAATATGCTGTTTTAAAACTGTAGGCAGAATGACATGTAGGCACATTGTGAGGACACCTTTTAGAGTCTCCCAGGCGCCTCTAAGGCTCGAATACTGATAGAAGCGGCGTAAACCCAACTCATCCATATATAGCATATCATAGTAAAGCAAAATAATACTGTAGTTTTCAGTAGAGCTTTATCCTCAAGTCAATAAATTCAGTCACGAGTTACATGGTATGTTACATTTGATTTCATAAATATTCTTTGAATATGCGGAGTATGTCTTAATTTCGTTTCTTGGAAAATCCCGATAACAGTCTCTTGTTTAAGTTGGGATCAACAGTGTTTTCAATGTCAAAATCAAACGGTTCTTGTCTGAACAGACGAAGCTGTACAAAGCAGTGTGCCCTCTCGGGAACCCTTTTGATTCATAACACAAGCAATACAAAAGTGGTTATGGTTCCTACGATAATAAAAGTGAAGACATATACATTTTAATACTATTCGGCATCTGCTGGGATATTAATGGGTACCTTTGAAAATACTATGTTTCGTGATCATTTGTTTTAAGGATTTTTCGATCTTGTCTCTTGGAGAAAGGCATCGTCGATCGTAATTTTGCAACTGGTTGACTGCAAGTCGACCCCGGGACAACGACAATCCCTAGAACGAGTTGTTCTGCCCTTGTTGCAGCATTCCCAGTTCCCCCATTCAGTCCACCCATACCCGTCCACAACAGCCGTGCACAACCTGAAGTCTACGTTGGGGCCTTCACAGCCACAGTTACAAGGGCCACATATGCGGCTGCGTCTTTGGATACCACCACTGCATGGTCCCCAGGAAGTCCAATCCGACCATGTGCCTTGGACCTCCTTCCATGGAGTCAGGTCAATTTCACCAAGAGAACTACACGAGACCCTGAAGTTGAGAAGAAACAGGTCATGAAACACGCTTCCAGAGGTAAGGTTCCTTTCAATATGTATGTCTTCCATATCAGTGCAAGTATTCAGGGCACAGAGACTCTTTCGGCAAAACTTTGGAAAACACCTAGACTACGTACATCTGTGTAATTGCGTGTTCTACATGCCAGTGAGTAAAGGAACACGCTCAACAATCTTTCCTTGGCCCAGTCAGATAACCGGGGACCGAGATTAAATTGAAACTTCTGAAGTGAAAACATATTGCCTTTCGTGTGGATTTAATTTGATACTAAACGATCATTCTCAGAAGTGTCTGATGTCACATTGAACTCGGAACAGAGAGAACTACAACGTTTCTCATCCTACCAGTCCTGAATATTAATTATTGATTAGTTTGACCTTTTAAAAATATTTTATTACATAAAGGACCTTCTTTCGGAAAACGAAATCAGTAAACCATCTGATAATCAAAGCCAGACAAAATACATACGCTGAATCCTTGACAAATGCGTTTGATTGTATGTTGTTTGTGTTTGTGTTGTCACACACGACACGGGACAGGCTCGATTTCCTGATCTGCTCCAGCTGAGCTGCAATGATAGGAACACAACTTGTTTCAAATGACAGACTGATAGAATTCAGTACATAAGAAAGCTACTAAATTAATGATGGAAGTGCGTATTGTTTGTTGTTTAATGCCTCACACATGTCACTATATTTCAGCTTAATGATGAGGATTAATGACGTTAATTGTCTAATTTGGATTGAAATCACCTTGAGGTGAGGTGAAATTGGGTTGTACGTCGTGCTTGAGAATATTTCGCTCATGTGACGACGTGCATGCGTGTGTATGTGTATGTGCGGCTGCTTGTACTAGCCCAGACTTAGCTGGGTTTATAGTGCTAGCCCACTGAGATACCATGCCGCAGTGAAGCATGAATACCCCACTCAGACACATTATACTGACTCCGAGCCCACCAGTCAAGTCAAGTCCTTGTACCCATTAATGCCGAGCGCCAGGCAGGGACCAACAAGTACCATATTTTAACGTCTTTTGGTATGATGCGGTCAGGGATCGAACCCGCGACCTTCCGCTCTCCGGGCGGACGCTCAAACCAGTACACCACGGAGGCTTTCGAAATCACCTTTGCCACTCTGTTGAATTCCCCAGGTCAGAGTACAACAACAGTCCTGATATAAGGATCATACTTTGGGTGAATCTAGGTTTCGAAGGCACAGTCACAGGCTGGGCATGCATAAACGGCAGAGAGCCCCAGTTACATGTTGAATAGGCGTTTCCCACTTTTGTAAAAACCCAGGCGCATGACAACGGTGCTGGCAAGCGCCTAGAACAAAAACACACTTTCGAAGCGGCTTGCTTGCATAATGGACCAAACTTAAACAGCTAATGATCACGTATTTGTACGAGTTAAATATAAGTTTGTGATATGCAACTGTTAATTTGAAGTACAGGACAAATATCGACCTGGGGTAAATTTCACGAAGTCGTTGTCTTCCTCATGCCAAAATCGGTCTCCTTTCTTGAGAGCCTCGAACTGTTTTCCCAGCAGACAAGCAAAGGTCGGTCCAACAAGTCCACCTGCTACTGGCATCTCTGACAGTCCTCCAGTGAACAGGTCAATGTCGTTCACATCTCTGGGGAGAAAGAAAAGTTTGAATCAAACATACAAACAGCTAATTTTAACCACGTGTTAACGACAAAGTTAAATGTTGGTGGGCTTGGTTTAAACGAGCACGTTTCTGATGCGGACATAAATAGAAACATGTAGAAGTGAATCTGATAGTTATCATTTCTGGAACGCATTACGGACGTTCATTTACACAGATTACGCACATGATATGTGTCAAAAAGTATATAACTGTCACTTAAAATATTTAATATCAATATCCCAAAAACATTTTCCGTACAAGGACGAGCACCTTTACTGAAAAGCACATGTGTCATAGCTTTTGTTGCAACACATTAAAGAAAAAAGGTAAATATTTGATTAAACAAGTAAAGTAACTATAATTACGCATATACAGTCGCAAGTTGTGAAACAGACGCTGCAGTGTGCGTCGATACAAGATCTGCGATAGAGGTCACATCAGGAACACCACAAAAACGCCTCCAGTGAGTGTAGGGAGGCAGACCATGGTCCCTTCCTCTCTGAATGTTGAGAGCGGCCAGATCAAGACTATTTCCATCATCATCAGGGAAGAGATGGTCGGTCACCTCCTGTGACAGTTTGCTGTCCACTGACTGGACGCAGTCCTCGACCAGACCTCTGCAGTAATGGCCAACGTGTCTGTTTGTTGCACTCAGTATCAGGTTGGTGTTTCCGAAAGTATCACTAAGTCTGTCTTGGCCAACATTGGCATGCACCTCGTTGAAACTGCTCATGAAGCTTCGGATCATGGAGTGTCCCATTCTGAAGACTGCTGCTGCAAAGGCGTTCCTGATGCTGGCGTCTGTTGTTGTGCTATAGACATTAGCATACGCCGTGCCACAGCCAAGAGTCAGTCCATAGTCATTCATGGTTGCTGGGCCAAGGATGATTGGTAGGTATTCGTCGTATGTGATTTCCTGTTACAAACAATGAATCAACTACCGTAATTACTTACTGTCGTTGGAGCCCTGGTTAAAAGAGGTCCTCACCAACCTGTACTGCTTATTATAAGAAGGGACCAATCCGACGGAAAGGCTGGCTGACCTGATTGATCGACTGCCATAGCACCCCGACAACTCAGAACGTTGACCATTACATAAACACCAGTTTTGTGGCCCAGATTCGATTATTTCGTGATATAACGTTAACTAGAACAGAGCTGAACCCCTGTCAAATGTTCAAAGTCCAAACCTGCAGAATAGCTCCAACTATTTTTCTGGCTTCCTGGAAGATTCTTTCATCCCCCCAGTGACAGTTCAGTTGCTTCAGTCTCCTTGCAATACGGTTGTGTTCCCTCATGAAGATGGTGTGCATGCTCTGTAGAGTGGGGTTCTCATTTACACGGTGGTCACCTTAAGAGATAAATTGTACGGTATCTATATGTCAACACTGGTCACTGAAAAACAGGTAAGCGCTTTTATAAAGACACTTATAGGATTCGGTGCTTAGCTTTTTGCCAGACGTGAACTCTACTTCCTACATGAACACAACCTACCTGCAAGAAAACAAAAATCCGACGGGACTTGTTGGCTGCAACTGTCAGGGTTGGCGGTGTCTTCTGGAAGCAGTTCGCGCACAGTACTGACGACACTGCTTACGTTCAATAAACCTGGAAGAAATATCATTGCGTATGTGATTAGCTGTATTAATATCCTGGTTGTAGTACATCATGTCGCATGGAACACTATTTAACCGTCATGCCATGTCAGTTTAATGGAAAGAAATTTAGGCATCGACTTCAGCTATTAGGAGACAGCCTACAGATTTAAGAATGTGATCTAGATGTAAATATTATTTCGGGTTGAGGTTGAGGTTTTTGAATAACAACATGGGTAAAGGACGCAAGTGAACACTGCCAATGTCCCGAGTCACGCATGATACAATATCCTGTGCAAATGCATTATAAATTATTATGTATTATTATAGAGAATTTCAAAGCCAGTGTGTCATAAACAACATAATTTTTTATCACTTACACAGCATATTGTAATTAACTTTTAGAATGGATTTGCTAGCCTGAGTATTCTGACTTTTCAATGAAACTAACAATGCTCCATTAGTTACCCTCAACAAAAGTCCGCAGTTTGTTTTGTTCTTCTTGTGACGACCCGTACACCTGTGAGGCATCGATGTAGGCTGTGATCTGGTTCAGCTGTTCCACAGGAGCTTGAGAAAATAATTGTTTAAATAACGAGGATGTATAATTGCTCATAACATACATAAAAAACATGGGGCGTTCAGATGTCGCACATATGAGTGCATAAGCGTGACATCGCTCGTAAAATCCCGCTTTTAGTGGCACTTCAGTTTCATACAAGCCGTGGGACAGACTCACATACCTTTTGACAACCCACTATCTTATTGATCCTAATTAGAAGGTATCTTTGGTTCTACCCATTATTGTCGAACAAATCAAGCAAAGTATATGATGGTTGTTTTGTCATTTAACGTCACTGTCACCACTATTCCAGATAAACAATATGTCCAGTACAAAAGGAAACTAAATGAGGCTAACCACTAAGTCCATCTAACGCCATCTTACGACCAGCATATGTTGATTGTGACGTATTACCAGTGATGATCCGGGATAGAATTGGTCTTCAGTAACCTGTGCTTCTCGTAAGAGGTGACAAGCGGGATCGGGTGATCAGGCTCGCAGGCTTTGTCGAAACATGCATCGTGTCCAAATTACCTAGATCGATGCTCATGCTATTGGTCACAGGACCCGATTATTTACAGACCGCCGCCATATAGCTGGGATATTGCTGAGTGCGGCGTTGAAGAACATCCAAACAAATAAAAAAGGCACCCCCAATGGTTCTTTAACATACCTGATGTACAATTGGCGTTTTCAACCTGGACAGACCGTACAAAATTCATACAGTCAAAAGTGAAGTTCCTGTCTGGCTGGTGTACTTGGATGGGGAAACACTGAGGCCTGTAAATGACAAAATATATCTTGCATGATATCCACCGAATCTAGTCGAACACAACATTTGAGAAACAAAACCATTAGTTACATCAAGAAGGCAAGACTGTGGAAGAAAGAGAGATTCTTTCAGCAACATCTTGGTTGGGGACACCGATATCAGAAGTAGGGCTTCACACAGTTATAATATGTGGTGCCAACACTTCAAATGCAAGGTAACACGAAGGGAAGGATTTCGGGAATCAAACCCCTATAAACAACCACTGCACATATCCAAATGGCAATAAACAAAGAATTGCTTTACCACCGCATTATCAAGCATGGCATATGTTAGATTTTTCCATGAATAAAATATGTTTAAATCAGATTACGGAACAAGTTCCCCCAAGAACCATGAAAGAAATATAATGTACATGCAAATTCGCAATGGCCGATGCCAAGAATAGCTATCACACTTATACGGAATCTATCCCGGGAACTGAGCATGAATCAAAAGTCCTTTCAGAATATTATTTGTATACGCATTTTGAGGTGTTCTTGGTGAACTTTAAGAAGGAAATATACTCCATCAACTTCATCACCAACCTTGCATTCAAGTCTGCTTGTGAGATACCACCATTAGGGAAGGAAGTGCTACAACAGGCCACCGATGTCAGGTAGGGGTCTGTCAGGATTGAATAAAACCACGGTTTCATAAAGGTGTTCATTGAAATCTACATCAAAGCGGAGGCTGATAATGCTTACATTCACATTACAAAGTCGTCCTATTTGCATCATTAGAAACAAACGGACAATTTGGGGTTGGTTCAGTTATAAACAGACGTTCTAAAATAACAGCATTACCTGTTTTGTTGTACATTTTTTACTCCGCAGTAGCCGTTTAAGAGGAATGCTTTGAAGAGCTTTTATAACATGAGATAAAAAATAAAATCCAGAATGTCTGTATTCAGCGATGCATGTGATATTGTCTGACTTGCTGTTCTTACAAGGGTGTTGCAGTTCTTACAAAAGTGTTTACTCGTATATGTTGAAAAGTTGGATGCAGTGTAAGTTGGATTGTATGGGGCTTCTGAGGTCTGAAACATTTTCAGCGGATGCGGAATGTTTATAATATCCTACGTCCCATTAGTAACAACAAAGTACATGTACTGGGAACATCGTGCATGAGTGTCATGATCAGGTTCATTCACCAGAATCCTACGAAAAAAAGCAAAATATATATCTACTATCTGCCCAACCTGCATCAGACAGATGCATTTTTTTTATTGGAGATTCGAATGCTGTTTCTAAAGTTCTTTACATGCTGCAAATGCAGTTGACACTGCACAGAAAGAGCCATGTGTTTGGTTATTATCAAAATGATTGTGACTTACTTGCTGGCTGTGTGAGCTGTTGAGTGGGTGTGCTGGTGATGTCGTGATCCAGGAACTGACCCCACTGCATCAGCATGTGGGTGTAGTTGACGTGGAGGTCAGCTTCAATTGACGGGGTGTGGACAGTCGTGCTGACCGTCCGAGCACTGGACTTGATTTGGGGCTCCTGATGATGCCAGTTGTCTCGGTGTGGACACACCTGTGTTTGGGTTGGGAAATGTGTTAGTGAATCTAGTTTTATGCCCCTTTCAGCAACATTCCAGTAATATCTGACTCCAGAAATGGGCTTCACACATTGTACCCATGTGGGGAATCGAACCCGTGTCTTCGGCGTAACGAGCGAACGCTTTAACCATTAGGCTACCCCACCGCCCCTCAGAAATGTAGTAAACAAAGAAACTCACATGGAAATGGTAACGCTGGGTATAAATATCCATCGAGTAATAACATTACCTAATGACATTAAGAGTGATTGACTATGTCAGTCCATAACAGTAATACCTAATCGATACAAAGGTCACTAATAGTCAATACAATGTCAATACATCATGATGTATTTGCCATTTGTCATTTTCAAACCCCTACAGTAGCGTACATATTCTGTATTCCTCCAATAAGGATATTGCATGAAAATTATATGGCTGTGTAGTTATTTACTAACCTCCTCAAAATTGCTTTATTGAACCTATCATATGCTTTATGACAGATTATATTGTAAGTTTTGAAAGTCATCGTGAACAGTGTTCAAGGTAATCGAAAATTGCTTTGGGTTAATGATGGAGAGAAGTCCATTATGATGCATTCTTAAACGTTTACAACGCGAACATGGGATATTGGAGACAAACATAATCAGGACGATACATAATGTGAACTCAAGATCATTTCTTTGAGATGCCCAAGGATAAAAAATATGTAAACCGTATTGACCATTCAGTACGTTCCTTCTTAAATAAACCAATAAATCATCAAAGTTCTTATCACGAAGAGAAAGGCATTACGATCAGAGCACGTACCATCGTCATATGCAGGATAAAGCCAACGCCTCGTCGGTATGGACGCCATACCCCACGAGTGATGTTCTAGGTTGTTGCAGTGACCGTCTGCTGTCCGATAGGGGTAGTTGCTATCACACGTGCAGTTGTCGTGGCAGAGGACCTCGGACCCAAATCCTGACTCAAGTGTTGGTCTGATTTGGTCATCTGGTATGTTTGCTCTTAATGTAAATTATACAAATATATATTTATGCACTCACTAGTATTCATAAATAATATAAAAATGACATTGATTGTTCCCTTTGTTTTACCGGTGTTTGGGTATAAACTTTAAATGTCAAAACACATGGTTTCTGAGTCAAACATTGTTGAGAAGGATAAATTATTTTTTGTAATATTTAAGGATGTAATCGATTATTCATTCAATGTAATACATGCACATATTGTACTGTGTGTTAATAAAGGAATCATGCCATATTTCAAACGACAGGTTGTGTACCACTGAAATAAATGGACATGTCTGATTTTAAACATTTTCATGGGGTAGTATTTCAATCGATTATTATAAAATATTCTTAAACAAATCATTTTGTGCTGGCCTCGCAGATAAATAAATGAAATAATTTTTTGGATCCGTCTTTTAGAAGTTGAAAAGTACATTAATGACACATTCATTGGCAACAACTTCTTTTGTCAAGCAGGAACAACTTCCTTCATTTTGTGAGTGCAACGTTTCGGTACGGATTCTTGTAGCGAAACTTCACATACGCACTACCAAAATAAAGAAGTTGTTCCTGCTAGACAACCGTACAAGGATCTGTCAAACAAAGTCACAATCGCAGAATGAAATAAGTTGTTATCAATAAATTTGTCATTGAAATGTATTAAACTCACTGAGTGAGGCCCAGGTTTGCTATGATGACGTTCAGGCGATGGTTCTCGCCCTTTCGGATGCTCTCCAATGTCGTGAAGGTGAACTTGCTGTGCTGGTGGATCGTAGTTCCCGTCTGATTGACCAACGAATCTACAAGTAATTTTGTGAGTGAGTTGGGCATTTCAGGTACATCGCGATGAAACAAGCTAGGCGTAACAGGCATGACAGGCATACTGAAGTTTACAATTTTATCTAAAACAATCCCAGATGATGATAAAGAATTTGAATTATTCGAATCGAAGCAACACAGATGGACTCTGACTGTGTCTAACATCGCCCTTTTGAGAGGAGAAGACTAAATGTATTTAAGTTCGATTTGGTAACACTTAAATTGACCATCAGATACCAAGTGTACCGAATATACAAAATTCAAATTGTTATTGAAATCAATTTTTCCCACGGATGCAGGTCTTTCACCATTACCACTATTGGTAAATCTTAAACATAGACTTATAATTTGGAAACTGGATAAATAATGATATGGTAACACCTCTTTAGACAAATAGCCACTTCAATCTTACCGTATGCACTTGATACATGAGTAACCACAAAAATGGTTTTCATGGTACCAATCAACCATTTTGCAGATCATGGAACGAGTCATTCACAAGTACACAACACCTGTCAATAGCAGGTATGGGATCCACAAGATGCAGTGACATACTGAAACCTGGGCACCATGCTTACAATAAGCTTAGATATTTAAACCAAATTGGACCCCACATCATAGTTCTCTATTGAATCAATGATTTGATCCTTAGCAAAGTGTGAATAGTATATATCTAACCTAGAAACACCAACAACTATAGGATTCAACACTACACTAAGACGAGTTCCCCAACTGTCCTCATAGAACCATGTAACACCATCGGATGATAAAATGAATGTATTCTAAACAAAGAACAATACTCCTTTAAACATTGGAATCACACACAATTTACCTATTTCCAGAAATCTCCTTTGTAAGCTGAGTTCATTTTCCAGAATCAGCTTGGCCTTTGCTACCAGTTCCTCGTGGGTGATGTTAGCTGTAGTGGGGGTAGTCTGTCTGTCAACTGTAGTGGGTAGGGTAGTCTGTCTGTCAACTGTGGTGGGTAGGGTAGTCTGTCTGTCAACTGTAGTGGGTAGGGTAGTCTGTCTGTCAACTGTAGTGGGTATGGAAGTCTGTCTGTCAACTGTGGTGGGTAGGGTAGTCTGTCTGTCAACTGAGGTGGGTAGGATAGTCTGTCTGTCAACTGTGGTGGGTAGGGTAGTCTGTCTGTCAATTGTAGTGGGTAGGGAGGTCTGTCTGTCAACTGTAGTGGGTAGGATTGTCTGTCTGACAACTGTAGTGGGTGGGGTAGTCTGTCTGTCATCTGCATGGGATAGAGTTGTCTGTCTGTCAAGTGTAGGGGGTAGGGTAGTGTGACTGTCAACTGTAGGGGGTAGGGTAGTCTGTGACTGTGCAATGATCACCACCAATAGGCATTCTAGTAGTACATGCAACAACATCATATGACCCTTGCCCATTGGTGCCTCAGGATACTGTATATAGACGTCTGGAAACAGGCGAGGAAGAGTTTAATATTTATGTGTCATATATTGCATGGCACATTAAACTGATATACATACAATAAATATCATGATGGTCTCTCAACTGATAACGCGTAAAAGAACATGGCAAGTATGCAACGTATAACATTGGATATGCATTTATAAGTTTAGTGTGATTGTATCACAGAGACTCAAGGCGTTTAAAGCATTTTCAAATGATACCACATTAAGGTCCAATTCGCGTATGTGGCCAGGGGTTAACAAAGATTGCTACACTGTGATGGGGAGATAACCTGATAAAATGGGCATGTATGTGTAAAGAACATGTAGAAGAGTGCCCTATAAACTAGACTAACATTATCACTCATTACGGAATATAGATATCCGACTGCGGCCGCTGTGCTGCAAAAAGCCATGAAAGATTTGCTTGCAGAACAATTGTTTCATCGTCATTCTAGAAGATGGTGAGTCAGTAATCAAGCATACAATATTATGGATGACAAGATGCAATCAAAAAGAAGTTGTTATCCATAAGGTTATATATTTCATTATCGCAGAACCAGGTTTGACGATCTCAAAACAAATCTTCTTTCTGACATAGAAACACATCAAAGAAACACAGAATGCATCAAGCCACCGGGCTGGATCACATGATCCATATGGTCGCCAAGCAAACGCTTAAGCATATGGCGAACTTTGGTGGGAACAGTGAAACTCCGAATGGGTATGAAACTTATATAAAAAGCATAACCCAGAAGAGAACAAAATCAGGCTTTGACAACTATATTTAATTTTGGGGTACAATCTGACTGTTACCTCTAGACTACAACACCCTGCCTTAACTAATGCAGTGAACGCAAATCAGAATAAGGACCAAGAAAAAAACCGGAAAGCGGGTTGTAACCAAAACAAGAACCGGAAAAATCAAGACGCACATAAGCTTTAAACCATTACCTGTTATGTTACCGTGGCCAGGTCTTGTCTGTTAGTTCGTTTGTTGTGTAACGCCGCCGCAGTCTGTAAATAATCGAGTGTGGACCAGACAATCAACATCATGAACATCGATCAAGGCAATTGGGATACGATGATGTGTGTCAGCCACATCAGCGAGCCTGACCATCCGATCCCGTGGGTTGCTGAGGATCAATTCTAACCCGTATCTTCACGGGTACGCAGACAAGAACGAGACACCTACTGGCGATGTAAGACAACATGCCAAAACCAGCCACACATTAACCATTCCTGTCAAAGAGAAGCTAATACACACATTCAGTACCGGGAATATATTAAATTTCTACAAAATCCAAAGGGAGACCAGAACAAATCCTAATATAAATAAAGGCAATCAAGATTTGCATTGGACTCCATTTTTAACTGAACTCACCATGTACCATCCACAGAATATGTTGCTCCAGCCGTTTTCGACCAAAAGTACACTTACCACGTACACTTTGAGATGTAAATGTGAGACGGATAGTCGCTTTAAGTATAGTGATGGATCACACCCGTGGATCACACACGTCTGCCAGTCAGGTCTGAGTCTTGTTAACGGGTCGCCCGCGCTGCATGTGTACATCAGTCTGGTCTTGTCTTCTGTCCTGCATTGTCCTCAAGTATAAACCATCGAAACTCATTCACAATGGTAAACCGTATGATAATTGTGAGTCTAGACAGTGTTGACGTCTATGGTTGTTGGGGGCGTGGCACGTATGTATTTTTGAAAGCATAACTCTTTGTATCTAACAGTCCATTCAATCTGTAATGAACATTAACTGAGAGATCCGGGAGTTGCTGTCTTGATCTGGTGTCAATTCTTTTGATGAAGACAATAATTACTTTTCTATTTGAGTAGTCACACCCAATCCCGTTAGGGTTGCTGAATACCAATTCTAACCCGGATCTTCGCTGGTGAAGTCATTATTAAGAGGTGAGAAATGAATCCTTCCTAATGCCGCAAAGGAACTTCCTTGACTCCGTTCCGCCTGAAGCTGTGCTTTGGTCTGAGTCCAAGGAACCTTCAGCTGCTGTGTGGCGGATAAGGACATTTCTGCATCAGTTATAGCCACCAGCATCAACTGGGAAATAGGTCCTGTTTGCTTCAGCACTGTGGATCTACAAAAAAGACAGTTAATACAGAATTAATACTATTCTTCAATCAATAAAGTTCTTGTTGTTTGGTTTAACGCCGCATTCAGCAATGTTCCAGCTACGTGGAGGCATACTGTAAATAATCGGGTCTGGACCAGACAATCCTCTGATCAACAGCATCGCTCAAAGCGGGATACGATGACGTGTGTCAACCAAGTCAGCTAGCCTGCCCACTGGATCTCATTCGACTCCTCTTACGACATGCACGGGTTCCAGAAAACCAATTTTACTCGGTATCTTCACGGGTAAATGTAGTAAACTTAAGTATCTTGATACGAAATTATTTCGTGTTATAAACAATTGTACGAAATACTTTCTTATCAAGATGCTGTTTACTACAGGATCTACTACAGGATCGTCTGGTTGACACACGTCATCATATCCCAATTGCGTAGATCGATGTTCCTGATCACTTGTTTATCTGGTCCAGACTCGATTATTTACAAACAGTAAACAAATGCTAGCAGCTGGAATATTGCTGACTTGGATGAGATAGCTGAGTACCTATTTACAGATGTGTGATAATGTGAATGGGATATACACAATGAACATGTAACTGACAGAATAAAACCTTTAGACAGAATACAGCAATACGCTTTTGTCTTCTTATGTGTTTGTAGTCTAATCTGCCAAAAAGTGCCTGCTGGCGTCCATGGGGACATGTATATGCGTTAGTGGTAATGCATATATACATCTGTGCATAAAATAAGCACCACCCTGTATTTTCACCAATTAATTTTGTCTGAAATGAAATTCTAAACTCTATCCCAACAATAACCTGTATAATTTGATAGAGCAAGCATTTAACATTTCAGAACGAAAACATCATTGAAATTACCATGTACTTTATTTAGGATAATTGTCTATATTTAAAACAGGTGTTTTTTCTGTCCTAAAACAAGTTACCTTATTTTGAAAAGTGAAAGTAATAATTGATTGTTGTGTGGCCTATAAATTCGTTATTTATGGTGAATGGATGAAAGTTTGTAAAGTAAGATTTAGGAAAAGTTACAGTCAAACTGAAGTAAAAAGAAAATTTTAAAATGCAGTAAAAGTTGCTTTACAAACAAAACAAACAGATTTTAGCTGTAATTATCACAATCCGGCATGGAGAAGTGTTTATTCATGTAAATAAACTCGAAATCATAAAAAAAAAATATTCCAAAATCTTATTAATGTGACCTTTTTAAGCTTTTGTCAATTAGCAATCTGAATTGTTGGAAAAAGGTCTGAATCATTGACATTCGGGTTCTTCCTGATTATGCATAATTAAAGTTTACTTGATGTGTAAATGTCATCTTGGTATATAACAGAATTGTTATTTTTAGTGAAAAAAATAGTTATTTGGGGTAAAAAGTCAGCCCCATCACATTTTCATCAACATATTCTTTCATAAAAAATAGAAAAAGTTATGGTATTTGTAAAACTGTCAGTGGATAAAGCTTCTTTAACTACAGGTTGATTAAATTGATGGCTATACCCTAACTTTCCGGTAGCATCACATCATATTTTCAAAATAGGGTGGTGCTTAATTAATGCACGGGTGTATAGCTTAAACTGTGCAGTATGTGTCAATGGGTGTGCATGTACTGAGTTCAGTTCAGTTCTGTTTATTTCTCAGAAAACAAAACCAGCATACAATATGCATTGCCTTTTTGTAGCAGTGTCATCCGTCGCCTACCGGCCAGGTTTAGCTGAAATATTTCTGAGTACGGCATCAATACATAACTCGTTCTCTTAACAACTTCTTTTTATTCCTTATCAGGTGAATGCTGAGTCAGTATACAGAGAGAGAGAGATGGTTTCACAACGCAATGTGGGAGAATGTTCAAGAACTTCCGGGTACGGTAAGAGTGAGTGAGTGAGTTGGCTTTTACGCCGCTTTTAGCAATATTCCAGCAATGTCACTGCGGGGGGACACAAGGAATAGGCTTCACACATTGTGCCCATGTGGGGAATCGAACCCGGGCCTTCGACGTGACGAGCCAACGCTTTAACGACTAGGTTACCCCATCGCCCCTAGAGTACGGTAAGAAACAAAACAAAAGACAAACACGTCATTGTGATGAAATCATTTTATTTTATTGTCATTGTGATGAAATGTTATTGTAGTTGTCAGTAAAGCCTTATTCTCAAGTCAATAGATTCAGGCTTGAGAAACATGGTTTGTTATATTTGATTTCATAATATCATTCTTTCAATATGCATAAGTCTTGTTTTCGTTTCTTGGAAAATCATGAAAATCATGACAGTCTCTGGCTTAGGTTAGGATTAACGTCGTTTTCAATGTCCGAAGAGGTCAAATGATTGTTGTCTGAACGGAGGGAGCTGTGCAGAGCAGTGTGAACCCTTTTGATTCATGATACAAGCATTACAATAGTGGTTATGGATCCTACGATATTACAAGTGAACACATCTTCGTAGGTTTAATACTATTTGGTACCTGCTGGGATACTATTGGGTACCTTTGAACATACTGAGCTATGTTTCGTGATCATTTATCTTAAGGATTTTTCGATTTTGCTTCTTGGAGCAAAGCATCCTCGATCGAAATTTTGCAGCTGATTGACTGCAAGCCGACCCCGGGACAAAGACAATCCCTAGTTCGAGTTCTTATCTCTTTGTTACAGCCTCCCCATTTGCCCCATTTAGTCCACCCATACCCGTCCACTACAGCCGTGCACAACCTGAAGTCTACGTTGGGGCCTTCACAGCCACAGTTACAAGGGCCACATATGCGGCTGCGTCTTTGGATACCACCACTGCATGGTCCCCAGGAAGTCCAACCCGACCATGTGCCTTGGACCTCCTTCCATGGAGTCAGGTCAATTTCATCCAGAGAACTACACGAGACCCTGAAGTTCAGAAGAAACAGGTCATGAAACACGCTTCCAGAGGAAAGGTTCCTTTCAATATGTATGTCTTCCATATCAGTGCACGTATTCCGGTCACAGTAGGTAGGTGATCATTAATTTGATATGACGAAAACGTGACGAGACTATTTCGGCAACACTGATTACATTGGAAAACAGATGGATTATGTACATATGTGTGACCGCGTGTTTTACATGCCAGCAAGTAAATTAAAATCTGATTGACTAAACGATCATTCTCAGAAGTGTTTGATGTCACATTGAACTCGGAACAGAGAGAACTACAACGTTTCTCATCCTACCAGTCCTGAATATTCATTTTTGATTAGTTTGACCTTTTAAAACTATTTTATTATTTCAAGCACCTTCGTTCTGAAAACGAAATCAGTAAACCATCTGATAATCAAAGCCAGGCGATATACATACACTGAATCCTTGACAAATGCGTTTGATTGTATGCTGTTTGTGTTTGTGTTGTCACACACGACACGGGACAGGCTCGATTTCCTGATCTGCTCCAGCTGAGCTGCAATGATAGGGACACATCTTGTTTCAAATGACAGACAGATAGAATTCAGTACATAAGAAAGCTACCATATTAATGATGGAAAAGCGTATTACTTGTTGTTTCATGCCTCACACACGCTATATTTCAGCTTAATGATGATAGCTTGTTAATTGTCTAATTTGGATTGAAATCGTCATGAGAAGGGCGCAGGAAAGCCCGCATTGGTGCCTGTCTGAGACCTTTGCCACTCTGTTGAATTCCCCAGGTCAGAGTACAACAACAGTCCTGACATAAGGATCATACTTTGGGTGAATCTAGGTTTCGAAGGCACAGTCACAGGCTTGGCATGCAAAAACGACAGAGAGCCCCAGTTACATGTTGAATAGACGTTTCCCACTTTTGTAAAAACCCAGGCGCATGACAACGGTGATGGCAAGCGCCTAGAACAAAATCACACTTCCGAAGCGGCTTGCTATCATAGTAGACCAAACTCAAACAGCTAATGATCACGTATTTGTACGTGTTAAATATCGCTGCATAAGTTTGTGATATGCAACTATTAATTTGAAGTACAGGACAAATATCGACCTGGGGTAAATTTCACGAAGTCGTTGTCTTCCTCATGCCAGAATCGGTCTCCTTTCTTGAGAGCCTCGAACTGTTTTCCCAGCAGACAAGCAAAGGTCGGTCCAACAAGTCCACCTGCTACTGGCATCTCTGACAGTCCTCCAGTGAACAGGTCAATGTCGTTCACATCTCTGGGGTGAAAGAAAAGTTTGAATCAAACATACAAACAGCTAATTTTAACCACGTGTTCACGACAAAGCTAAATGTTGGTGGGCTTGATTTAAACGAGCACGATGTGATGCAGACATAAATAGAAACATATAGAAGTGAATCTGATAGTTATCATTTCTGGAACGCATTACGGATGTTCAGTTACACAGATTATGCAGATAATATGTGTCAAAAAGTATGTAACTGTCACTGAAAAATATTCAATATTTAATGTCCAAAAAACATTTTCCGTATAAGGACGAGCACCTTTACTGAAAAGCACATGTGTCATATAAATATATGATGAAGTTAGTACAGTTAATATAATTACGCATATACAGTCGCAAGTTGTGAAACAGACGCTGCAGTGTGCGTCGATACAAGATCTGCGATAGAGGTCACATCAGGAACACCACAAAAACGCCTCCAGTGAGTGTAGGGAGGCAGACCATGGTCCCTTCCTCTCTGAATGTTGAGAGCGGCCAGATCAAGACTATTTCCATCAGCATCAGGGAAGAGATGGTCAGTTACCTCCTGTGACAGTTTGCTGTCCACTGACTGGACGCAGTCCTCGACCAGACCTCTGCAGTAATGGCCAACGTGTCTGTTTGTTGCACTCAGTATCAGGTTGGTGTTTCCGAAAGTATCACTAAGTCTGTCTTGACCAACATTGGCATAGGCCACGTTGAAACTGCTCATGAAGCTTCGGATCATGGAGTGTCCCATTCTGAAGACTGCTGCTGCAAAGGCGTTCCTGATGCTGGCGTCTGTTGTTGTGCTATAGACATTAGCGTACGCCGTGCCAGAGCCTAGAGTCAGTCCATAGTCATTCATGGTTGTTGGGCCGAGGATGATTGGTAGGTATTCGTCGTATGTGATTTCCTGTAACAAACAATGAATCAACTGCCATAATGACTTACAAACAATGCCCTACCTTGGCCCAAGAAAAGAAAACATAATTATTATATCAACAACTATTTCTGTAGAAAGCCGAATATGCACAAGATGAACCACCTTTTCACTCTGACAGACTAGGAACAATTAGGAAATTAGCAATATTTTGCAAAATAATAATGTCTCATTTTAAACAACGCCCCCACGAAAGATAAACAATAACGCATGAGTGTAACATTGTTCAATTAACTGGTTATTCTTACAACCAAGCGATATGTATTTATTAATACTTTGTGTATCATACATGTATGTAACATATATAAGTTGTACATAATGATGTAAACATGTACCTCTAATGCCGCAAAACGTGGCCAGAGATTATATAAAGTTCAGTTCAGTACGGGTCCTGGTTAAAAGAGGTCCTCACCAACATGTACTGTTTATAGTAAGAAGCGACTAATCCAGAGGAAAGGCTCCCTGACTTGATTTACTGCCATAGTATACCCCGACAACTCAGAACGCTAATCATTATATCAAACACGGATTTGTCTGGCCCAGAATCGATTATTTTGCGACATAACTGGAACAGAGCCGAGCCCCCGTCAAATGTTCAAAATCCAAACCTGCATAATAGCTCCAACTACTTTCCTGGCTTCCTGGAAGGTTCTTTCATCCCCCCAGTGACAGTTCAGTTGCTTCAGCCTCCTTGCAATACGGTTGTGTTCCCTCATGAATATGGTGTGCATGCTCTGTAGAATGGGGTTCTCATTTACACGGTGGTCACCTTAAGAGATAAATTGTACGGTATGTTGTATATTAACACTGATCACCTGAAACCAAAACAAGCGTGTTTCTTCTGGAAATGTTAACAGGTCAGCTCTTTTATAAGAGCTCTTGTTCCCTCTTGATGATGGTGAAGATGTTCTGCAGATTGGGCTTTTCATTCACATGATGGTCATCTTAAGAGATCAAGCATCTGCCCGTCAACACTGGTCACTTAAAAACAAAGCAGTGTATTTCTTTTGGAATTGTTTACAGTTTGGTTCTTTTGTAAAGACACTTACATGATTCGGTGCTTAACATTTTGCCAGACGTGAACTCTACTTTCCTACTTGAACACAACCTACCTGCAAGGAAACAAAAATCAGACGGAACTTGTTGGTTACAACTGTCGGGGTTGGCGGTGTCTTCTGGAAGCAGTTCGCGCGGAGTACTGACGACACTGCTTACGTTCAATAAACCTGGAAGAGATATCATTGGGTATGTGATTAGCTGTATAAATATGCCGGTTGCAGCACATCAAGTCGCATGGAACCGTATTTACACGTCAAGGCATGTCAGTTTAATAGGAAGAAATCGCAAATTTAGGCATTTAAGATGTGCAGTAATTCAGGAACAGTGTACGAATTTAAGAATATGATCGAAATCCAGGGCTGCCTAAATCTCATAATGTTAAAAGATAACCAAAAGGGGAATTTCGAAGCTAGTGTGTCATAAACACAACAATCTTTTAAAATTTAAATAGCATGTTCTAATTAACTTTCTAAATGTTTTAGTGAGCCATTGTATTCTGGGTTTATTTTCTCCGGAACAGAAACTAACATGTTATGTTTCTTTAGTTACCATCAACAAAAGTCCGCAGTGTGTTCTGTTCCTCCTGAGAGGATCCGTATACCTGCGAGGCATCGATGTAAGCTGTGATCTGGTTCAGCTGTTCCACGGGAGCTAGGGACAATAAGTGTTTAAATAATTATACGGTGATGTATAATTGTTCATAGCATACATATAAAACCATGTTTCGTATGTGAGTGCATAAGTGTGACATCGCTGGTACACTCCCGCTTTTAATAGCACTTTAGTTTCATACCAGCCGTAAGACAGGTTCACATACCGTTTTGGGCTCACATACCGTTTTGCAACCCAATATCCTATTTGACCCTAATTAGGAGGAATCTCTGGTCCCAACCCATTGTTGTCGAACTAATCTTACAAAGTATGTAATGGCTGTTTTTGTCGTTTAACGTCAGTGTCAACACTATTCCAGATGCGCAATGTGTCCTGTACTGAAAGAACCTAAATGAGGCTGACCACTAATCTAAGTCCATTTAATGGCCTCTTTCGATCAGCATACGTTGATGGTGACGTATTCTAACCTGGCAACCGTGAAGATCCGTGTTAGAATTAATCTTCAGCAACCCATGCTAGTCGTAATTGGATAACGGGATCGGGTGGTCAGACTCGCTGACTTGGTTGACACATGGCATCGTTTCTTAGATCAATGTTCATGCTGTTGATCACTGGATTGTCTGGTCCAGGCTCGATTGTTTACAGATACCCGCCATATAGCTGGGGTATTGCTGAGTGCGGCGTGCTGAGTGTTGTGTTCGGCGTTAAACAACAACACAACATATCAAAATAGGCATTCCCAATGGTCCTTAAACATACCTGAGGTACAATTGGCGTTTTCAACCTGGACAGACCGTACAAAATTCATACAGTCAAAAGTGAAGTTCCTGTCCGGCTGGTGTACTTGAATGGGGAAACACTGAGGCCTGTTAATGTCAAAACAGATCGAGCTTGATATCTCCCCATGGACAAAGATATACATGTGAGCATTCATGTCATAATAATCTAGTCTAGCAAAACGTTTGACAAACAAAACCATTAGATACATCATTTGGATACTACTGTGGAAGATACCCGTGAAGGTCCGGGTTAGAATGAACCCTCAGTAACCCGTGCTTGTCGTAAGAGGCGACTAACGGGATCGGGTGGTCAGGCTCGCTGGCTTGGTTGACCCATGTCATCGGTTCCCAATTGCGCAGGTCGATGCTCATGCTGTTGATCACTGGATTGTCTGGTCCAGACTCAATTATTTACAGACCGCCGCCATATAGCTGGACTATATATGAGACATGGGACTTCATGCTTATACGGAATCTATCCCGGGAACTGAGCATGAATCAAAACTATTTCCAGAATAAGATTTGTATACGCATTTTGAGGTGCTCCCGTAGCACTGTAAGAAGGAGACTATACTCGATCAACTTCATCACCAACCTTGCATTCAGGTCTGCTTGTGAGATACCACCATTAGGGAAGGAATTGCTGCAGCACGCAACCGATGTCTGGTAGGGGTCTGTCGGGATGTATAAAACACGGTTTCATAACACTGTTCATTCAAATCTACATCAAAGCGGAGGCGGATAATGCTTACATTCACATTACAAAGTCATCCTGTTTGCATCATTAGAAACAAACGGACAATTAGGGACAGTAGGGTTTGGTTCTGTTATACACAAACGTTCTAAACTAATAGTTGACTCCGCGGTAGCCCTTTTCAAGAAACAGGTTGAGGAAATGCTTTGCAGAGTTTTTATGACGAGATAGATACTAAAATCCAGAATGTCTGTGTTCAGCGATGCATGGGATACTGGCCCACTTGCAGTTCTTACAAGGGTGTTTACTACATGTTGAATCGTTGCATGCAGTGTAAGTTGGATTTTATGGGGCTTCAGAATACCCCGTTCGTTTGCAAAGGTCTGAAGTATTTTCAAACAGCAGATGCGGATTTTTTTGTAATATCCTACGCCCCATTAATAACATGACCTGGGAACATCATGCATGCGTGTCATGATCAGGTTCATTCACCAGAATCCTACCAAAGACACCCCCATCCCCCACCACACCCTCCAAAAGAATAATATATATATATATATATATATATATCTACTATCTGCCCAACCTGCATCAGGGTCTTCACTGCAAATGCAAAATATATGTATGGCGATTCTGAATGCTGTTTCTAAATTTCTGTACATGCTGCAGATGCATTTGACCGATGATAGAAAGAATCATATGTTTAGTCGTTATTAAAATGATCGTGACTTACTTCCTGGCTGTGTGAGCTGTTGTGTCGGTGTGCTGGTGATGTCGTGATCCAGGAACTGACCCCACTGCATCAGCATGTGGGTGTAGTTGACGTGGAGGTCAGCATTAGTTGACGGGGTGTGGACGGTCGTGCTGACCGTCCGAGCACTCGGCAAATGATTTGGCACTCCTGATGATGCCAGCTGTCTCGGTGTCGACACACCTGTGTTTGGGTTGAGAAATGTAGCAATTAAACCGAATCATATTGAAGTGGAAGCGTTGTGTGTATATGCCCACCACTTTTTAACCTTACGTGGTGACATCACGTGGGGCGTGTTGGGCGAACTGGCTTAGGCGCCAGGCTAGTAATCCAGCGAGCTTGAGGTGCCGGGATCGAGCCCACCTGTGACCGGGTGTAAAAACTTGGAGTCAACTTTGTGTGCAGACTCTTTCAGTGTTGTCACAACCCCTAGTGTACAGTTCACAACCCTGTGCACTTAAAAGAACCCACGAATCCGTTGGTATACGACCAGATGGTGGCCACATGAATACGTGCAAACACCTAGTTGCGGGTACAGCAACGTGCAGTAAACTTGGACAAAGTACTGTGACTATGTGTCCCATTCCACCCAGCTGTGAATAGGTACGTCGTAAGGATGGAAAAGCCACATTAACTCGGTGCGCCTAGTGGCTGCAAAAGTTGTATGATCCCCAGGGAGTTGAGATTGTTAGTACGAAGTGCCGTTGAGGCTGACATACTATGATCGAGGAAAAAAACAAAGCGTCTGTGAGCAGCCTAGCTGGAACTCGGCGCTATATAAATAGATTATAAAACAAAACAGAATGATTGACTGTGTCAATCCAACAGTACACAATTTATACGCGGGTCAGTAGCAGCCAATGCAGTATCTGTCGCTCATTAAGAATGTGTGATCTTTGTGTAGTACAAATCTTTCAGTTGTGTACATATTGGGTCTTCCTCCCATAAGGATATTTTTGACAAATATAGGGCTGTGCATTCATTTAATAAACCTCTTCAAAGTTACTTTATAAAGCCTATTATCTTTTTCGTCACAGTTTAGTTTAACGTCACTGTGAACAATGTCCAAGTTAAATTCAAGGGATTATTGCTCAAGGAAAAAAGTATTTCCTGAAACCGGTGAACACAGGGACACTGCAGGCTAACATTGATACATAATCAAAACGATACAGATTCGAACTCAAATTCATTTCTTTGGGACGCCCAAAGGTCAACAACCTGCGAACTGCTACAAATTTGATGACTGCAATTGGCCATTCAGTACGTTCCCTCTTCAATAAACCAATTTATCATCATAGTTCTCATCACAAAGAGAAAGTCATTATGATCAGAGCACGTACCATCGTCATATGCAGGATAAAGCCAACGCCTCATCGGTATGGACGCCATACCCCACGAGTTGTGCTCTAGGTTGTTGCAGTGACCGTCTGCTGTCCTATAGGGGTAGTTGCTATCACACGTGCAGTTGTCGTCGCAGAAGACCTCGGGTCCAAATCCTGACTCAAGTTCTGGTCTGATTTGGTCATCCGGTATGTTTGCTCTTAATGTAAATTAAGCGATTATATATTTATGCATACACGGGTAATAATAGATATAAAAGTTACATAGATTGTTATTTTTCTTAATAATTGTTTTAAGTGTGAAAACATGTGTCTGAGACAACGATTGTGAGAAGGATGGATCGCCATGGCAAATTGTTTGGTATAGTTTCCGTCATCTATTGCGGATGTAATCGATTAAATTGTATAATCATCAGAATCTGATGTAATCCCTAGCCATATTGGATGTTACCGGGAATCAAAGAATCATAATATATTTCACATCTGGTTGAATACCACTGAAGGTAATCATGGCTATGTGAAATGTGTGAGGAC